TCTCTCTCTCTCTCTCTTTCTTTCTCTCTTACTCTCTCTCCCTCTATCTAACTTTTATTCTTTCTCTTTATTTTTTGCATAGAAGAGGAACTTTTTTGTTCCTTCTTTTAAAATTCTTTCTAGCCTTTGACGAGGCATTCTCCCTTCGTTGTGTCACGAACGTAACCCGAGGCGACGAGTTCCCAATTACTCTAAAGGTTTCCATTATTCCATTTTCAATTAGGTTTAATCGTTAGTACATACGTTCGGTTTCATGCACCAAGAAAAACGTTCAGTACGATAATATATTCACTGTTCTTAATTATTACAGATGTATGTTCCTCTTGTATTCTCGCAATGCTAAAAAGCAATTAGAATTACCGAGTTTCTTTATTTTTTTTTCGCAACTTTATCCAAAAGCGTTCAAGTAAATCGTTTGATTAAACGGAATCGAAGGATGCTGGAGAAAGACTTTGTCGATGTTAATCAAATTTGTTCTTAAAGTATTGTATATTTATTTTATATCAAGTTTATATGCATCCAATTTTTATTTGAGATATATATTTTTTTTCTTCTTTCATAATATTATATTTTATCGGACGGTCATTTCTGCAAACGAGAGAATCGTCGTTATCTTCATACAATTATTATTTATATTGCAAATTCATTTTATCGTTGAGAAGATAAATGAAAATACTAAATGTTAAAAAAAATGTAATAAATGAATTCGAAATTGTTATAAGAAATAATTTATCAAAAATGATATTTTAAATGTATGTGTGTATATATTAACCCTTATGGGTCTTCAGGTTTTTATATTGATGATTTTCATTAAATTATAATTAGTTTCGAAATATATATTTAAAAAGAATTGTTCAACATTATAAGAATAAATTATTATTTATTAAAAATGATTTATTTTTTTTTTAAGGAGTACTACAAATATATAAAAATTATTAATAAGATATTTTTATTATTTGTAAGTGATTTACAAATAAATTATCGATAAAGGGTTAAAAATAGCTCTTTTATTGTTAGATTAAATTTAGTTGAATTAGATAATATTATTAAAGAACAAATTGAGTTTACTTGGAAATACGATATTAGAGAGATTGAGGTTTAAAATGGGGTTATAGAATGTGTACGAAAAAGGGGGTGAAATTTATGAAAAGTCAACTAATCCTCGGTGAAATGATTTTGGCTCTATCGATTTTTCTCTTGTTTCCCGTGGCCTGTAACGGACGACGACCTCTCGGCTATCCTGCGGACCGCTGAGACTCTCCACCGACATAATGAACTGTCGCGAATTGCACTTTGTAAATGCAGCTATGCGTCACGTAGACAGATGTACATGCATAACAATTAAACGGTACAGTTACGGGTCGCTCTCTCGCACTCGAGTACACCCGATGTTACCAGCCCCATACTTTTGACGTTTTTCGAGCGTTTTGCTTTAACATTTCATTGTTTAACCGTTGGTTCACGAAACGTTTAGGTATATTTACGTAACGTTGATATAAGCGAGGAAATTTCAATTTCATCGATTTGTTTGAATTCCTGTGGTTCTTCGCGTCAACGTTTTTCCTTTGACAACTATTCAACAACTTTCATTATTTTCTAGTTAAATAATTGCTGTTTTTTTTCTAACTCCCATTCCCGCTTTCCCCTTCCCCTCTCGACTATCTCGCCGCAATGAAGATAATAAAAAAAAAAAAAGAAAATACGAAAAAGAGGTAAAGAGATTTGAATCTTTCTTTCTTTCTTTACTTCATTCTCATGTTTCCTTTTTCTTTTTTTTTTTTTATCAAGCGATAGCAGAACAAATTTGAACGTTTTATCGTTCGCGATACATCGAGAGAGAACGATATTCTCAAATAGTGCCAAATAATAGATAATTTTATTCTTGGCGTACGAGTTGCATCGTATTGTCGAGAATGCTTACACAGATATATACCGTTAACTTTCATCGCTATTTCGAATCTTTTACTAGATATCTAAGAAACATGATATAACTATATTATATTATCTTTTATTACTAAGAAAAAAGAAACTAATATATACAATTTATAATAACGTGTTTCGATATTCTTATATATATATATATATAAATAAATAACTGGATGTTTGTATAACAAGAACGAAAGATCTTTAACTATCCTATAACTTTGAGTAAAAGTTTTAATCAACTTTTGTAAATATATATAAGTATATACGTATATATAATATATAAAAGAGTTATGGTAATAGGAATTTGCGATATATATGTTACTATAATACTCATAACAAAAATATTTTTTCAAGCTTATTGTGAACAAAATTATATCAGATTATTGATACAAAATTAATTTGAAAGAAAAACATTTTAATAATCAGCATTTAAACTGTATCTATATATATATATATAAATATAATAAAAAATAATATAATAAATTTATCTAATAAAACACTTTATTTGTTTATCTATCATCTTTGAATGTATATATATAGTTTCAAATACATGATTAAAAAAGTTAGAATTTTGTTGAAAAAGAATTTAAAAGTTATATTTATATAAATGTATTTACACTTGGACGGATATTTTATTATGATACATTATAATTTTTCGTGAAATAGAGTAAGTATTAAGTTTACTGTATAATTCTGTTCGTTTAAACGAATATTGGTTCAATTTTTCGCCTATAGGAATAAGACGCTCACACTGGTAAGTAGTCAATAATTATAATAGTAATTATATTATTCAATAAAGTTTATAAAAGGTATAAAAGATATTTTATTTTATTCTAAAAACGGACTGAATTTTACGGTAGAATGAGATAATATAAAATATATAATATAAGATAGTATCGCGATGAGAGGAAATACAAGGTTTACATGAAAATATAAAAGGACAGTTTCGAAGTAGTACTCAATAATAGAATATTTTATGAAAAATCTCTAATAAACTGGACAAAAAATTAGTTTAAAAATTATAGTAAAAATTTATTCATAGATAAAGAGAGAATAATTTACTCAGAAGGTAGTACTAGGTACGAATGGTATATCTTCACCCCTCAGTCGCCTTTGTTCATAAACATCTATTTCTTTGGCAATATATTCCATTTCTAACCACCTTAATCTGTCCTGTATCCCTCGCAGTAATTTGTTAGGATGGTTTTCGATTTCTCATTGTCATCTACATTTTTGGGTTATCTAAGAAACATTTTAGGTGTGACGAAATAAAGACGTTACGAAAAACATATGGAACGAATATATTTTATAAGTAGGATTAAACTGGGTGTATGTTAACCTCGCACCTCTACATTAAACCCAATCCTACATGTATATATATGTATATTTGTTTCCATGTATGGCTATCGCATTCGGCATTTCGGCATAATTTGAAAGTGATAGTTTTTGTTAGCTACCCCCCATCCCCAAGATCATATCGTAGCCCTTTGATATATATGGTAACAATATTATAATAAATAAATCCTAAATTATCTTACTCTTGAAACTGTGAATTTGTCTCCTTCTCTCGAAACTTAATTTTTTGAAAGTTTCACTTCTAACACATGTGATTTGAACACATGGTTTTTTATATTCTATGTATTTATTTTATGTATTATATTTGCGAAATAAAGAATTTAATGCTAATTTTTCAATAAAATAAAAACATTTTTAAACATAAAAGATATGGCATGTTTTGTAAAAAAAAAAATACACCATACTTGCTATTATATTTTCAATAAGCATCGCATAAAGAGGAGACCGAGAATAGAAAAAACTGTATAGCTATATTCTGTCTCATTCTCTCGCAGGCTCAATCCTATATGTTTGTCTCTTTTTCTCTTCTTATTTAGTGTCGTGGCCTCACTACATCATCACGTTTCATTTTTTTCAAATCACCCCCATTTTAAAGAAGTTTTCACTTCAAAAAGGTAAATATTTATAAGTGAACTTGCTTGTTTCATAAATATTAAAAATATTATCCTCTCTTTTTTAGATATTATTGGAACGAAAATGTAACGATAGAAAATATAGAATGATAGATAAAGAAAGAGAGAAAGAGAGAGAGAGAGAGAGAGAGAGAGAGAGTGAAAACCTCGATTTTCTTTTTGTAGTATCCTTTTTCTTTAAGCTCAGCGCCATTATCCTTACATGGAAAAATGCATGTCATATGCCTATATAGAATATGCACATTTACAAGGAAAAGGAAAGTACGATCTTTTCGAAAAGTTCTACTCGAGTACTGAGCTTAGACGTTCGCGGCCTTTGCATTCCAGCTTTCTGTACAATTTGATTTACGTTTCACTTTAATCCGTTGAGTGTCACAGGTCTTTCTTACGTATTTCTCTCTCTCTCTCTCTCTCTATTTTTCGATGCTCTCGAAACAGCATCTCGTGATACTTTTCCTTGATATGCGCGTTACTTTATACAGCCTGAAAACACACCTAACAGAAGTAAAAATCTACCTAGAGATGCGAGTACTAACTCTTGTCTTACTTTTTCATTTTTTTTGTTTCTTTATTCTCTTTTTCTCGTTTTTTTCCCCTTCGAAAACACATATACAAATGTTCATTTTTTTTTTTTTTCATTTTGTTGTTGTTACTTTCTGAAACATCGTTTTAATTCGTTAAAATATTCTATTAGTTATTATCTTTTAATTAAATAGATAAAAAAGGTGTGTTTGTCTTATCTTATCTGTTAGAAAATTAATATCTTTTTTTAAGGATCTATTTTTTTTGCTATACAAAATAAAACGAGCTTTGTTAATAGAAAATAGGTAATAAAATTCTTTGTTAACAAGGTACATCTCTTTCTTTTTCTTTTCTTTTGTTATTTGATATCACTTTTAAGAATTTCGAATGGATCGAAATTAGAGAGAAAGAGAGAAAGAGAGAGAGAGAGATAGAGAGAGAGAGAGAGAAATCGGTTTTTCTTTTTGTATGGTTTTTTGTTAAAATGACTTGGGATGTTAGTTGAAAATAAACCCTGGTAATAATATCCCTTTCGTAAAATTACCAGTGGGTGTGAACACTTACCTGACACTCGTAGGTCCCATTGTCTCTTTCTTGGACGTATTTGATTTGAAGAGTCCAATCGTCCGAACCTTCGGCGTGTAACACTTGAAACCGCTCGTCGTTCGTGTAAGTTGACGTCGAGCTCGTTAAAACGTGAAAGTCTCGACGACGAATCCACGAGATCTGTAACACGATCGTTTTACTTGGATTACTTCGATGTTTTATTTCTATTCTATGTAACATGTGTCCTCCTCGTCAAGAGGAACACGTAAAAACATAAAAACATATAAAATAATAGAAATAATAGAATTAACAATAAAATAATAGAAAACGTGTCATGTTAGATCATTTTAAAGATGTAAACAAGTTCTTGAAAAGATTTATCCTAATCTCCGATATTGTTTATGATCTTGAATTTATCTTTAAAGGTAAATTAATTTTTATCATTTTAATTTAACCAACGATCGAAAACTCACGTGTTATACGTGAGTAATTTTATTAGATTTTAACAAAAGATTTATTTAATATCATTTATTATCGTAATTACAAGAGGTCTACTTAAAATGTATTTTTCTTCCCGTTGTCTCCTTTAGTGATGTAATTTACGGTAAACTGAAAGACCGCCAATTGCTTTGTGTTAGAGCGTATCCCGTTAATTATACATAAAGGACGAATAATCGCAAATAGAATTTTCAAGTGTATACGCGATACAACGTTGAATCCCCCAAAGTGCTTTACGGAATTTGCAAGACGAAAGGGAGCGAAAGCCCGAAAACCACGAATATATACACAGAGAGGTACGTATCTAAGCTCGTCTATCGTCGATTTCATATCCTATGTACATTCATTTCGTCGAAACGAACTTGTAAGACAATTTTGAAGAAAAGACTACGACGATGATACCCCAGCACGAACGGGAAAATTGTGATAGTAGGAAATGTAATCCGGGTCTCTAAGGAATGTCAGAAATTCACCTTCTTCTCTTCTTTTTTTCCCTTTTATGTACAACTTCCCTTGCTTTCTTTCTTTCTTTCTTTCTTTCTTTCACCCGCCCTCCGCGCTTCTTCTTCCTTCTCTCTTTCTCCTTCTATCTTTCTTCTTGCTCATGACTCTGTATTCTTCCTTTTTGTTTCTACTCCCCTACCGTTTTAAGATTATTGCGAAAAGAGAATGCATAAAACATAAAGCATAAACCGACGAAAGCCAATCACGGTCGTCGCGTTTCGACGTCGTTTTCCTGACATAAAGCATGCCAAGGGCTGAATTCTCGGATTACTCATAATAATATGTATTTGTATAGCGCTTATCGTGGTACCTAGTTATCTATATCATTTTCCAAATATCGATCTTGTATCGAAATATACACACACACATGCATTTATATATACATATAGGAATATAAAATACTTATGATATTACATGTATCTGTATTTATACGATAGACGTTTTACTTTACAACCTTTTCGTTTATCGACGGGTTAGAACATAGACGTTTCTCCGATACGATCGGACTGTTTATGGTGCTAAACTTTTACTCGAGTAACGAACAGAATTATCGATCTTCTTCTTTTTCTTTACGTTTTTTTTTCTTTCTTTTCCCTTATAAAATCTATCCGTCTGGTCTCGAATAAATCAGATTCTGGTCCAAATTATGAAGGAAGATTTTGAACGGGAAGACAACTTAATCCACTCGACGAAGGCCGCTGGTGGTGCCCATTGAAAACTCTCAGGTCAAGCATCAACTTGCCCGTACTTTTCAATAGATTTCCCGTTGCTTTCGAAGAATCTTCTTTCGTGTTCTGCAAAAGGACTTCCTTACTCGTTTGAAGTTTTTTACGATAGACTGAGTTTAACCGGAAACGTTCGACGTGTTTTTCCTTGACTTAAAACTTCTTATCCTCTTTCCCTTTCTCCTTTTCCTCCTTCCTCCCCATCACTATTGCCCTTTTCTTTTCTTTCTATCATTTCTAGACTAGTACTGATGGTGTCCATCTTTTGGTGACATTTGTTCTGCCAACTCTTGTTGATGTCAATGAATGTTCAAGATGAAAGCTCGCCCGTAAAATAAATTCTTGTCAACTTCAATCGAGCTTTCTTTTTTCCTTTGGAATCGAACAGATCGACATTCTATGGTACCCTTCTATTCTACTTGCTTTTTATAAGTGGATAACTTTGGAAAAAAAAATGAAAATTATTGAAACTTTGATATAGTGTTTGATTTACGACGAATTATTTTCCCTTATGATAAATGTTTTTAATTTATTCGTGACATGTCTATCGTTGTATTTAATTTTATCCTTTAATGAAGATGTACTCGTGAAACATCATAAACTAACACAAAGAGCTTCTACTTGAATTATTAATTTACAAATTTCATTTTGATAATGATCTAATACTGATGACGATATCGTAATTGGAAGCAGGTATGTAATAGTTCCAAGTGTTTATCATGCACACGTGTACACACATGTATACATACGAACATGAACATGCATACGCATAACATTGATTTTATCGGGATAGAATAGAATTACGTGGAACATTTACATATATCCATATGTAAATCACATTTAGTTAAAGAAAACCAAACGTTATAATGAATTAAGTTTTCAATCTACTTTTTTGAATAAAAAGGAATTACTCTACATCATATTTAAATGTGGTCTGAAAAATCATACGACTGTATTATGAAGATTTTACATTGTAGACTTTGAAATCATTATTCATATATGTACTGATAATTAAGATAATGGACTAGCAATAAATGAAAAATTTGTAAAAGTTTTATTTGATGGTTTATTTATTAATATTGTTATAGTAAATTTAATATAATATAAAAATTTGAAAATTATTCATTTTTGTTCAATTTTTGAAAACAGTTCGCAATCATAATTATCGGTACATGCATACATGTAATTAATATTTCGTTACGGTCGAATGTATCAATGGAAGAGAATTAACTAGGATGAAACGAAAATAATTAGCCGCTGGACATAAAGTGTATTTAATTAAAAAATTGAGAGAAACTTTTTGATACAACGTAAGTAATAACGATATGATTTTTTGTACTTATTATAATTATATTAGAAAGAGTATTTGGTCTGCATTGAAGATGAAAAAAAAAAGAAAAAATATCAATATATTGTAAATTTAATTGACTTATAACAACAAGTTTGCTTTTCAATTTATTTTCTTTGAATATAAATATATATTTCTTTTTATTATAACAGTTATATGCGACTTTTATGATATATTCATACAATAGAAGAATCGTATTTATTATTGAGGGATTAAATTAATACTATTATCATAGAAAAAAATATCGATAAGTAGAAAAACTGTGAAAAATATATAAATATTATTTTTAGATAATTCATTTGAAACAGATTAATAAAAATTGATCTCGAAAGAAAATCTTTCGACTCGATGGGAAAAAAACAAACAATAAAAAATCTATGATAAAAAAATATCATAAAATAATTGGAAAAAAAGAGCAACGTTCTAGCAAGGCGTTCTTTATGCTTCTTTTTTTCTCTGTCTCTCTTTCTCTCTTTCTCTCTTTTTCTCTCTCGTTCTTTTTTGTTCACCGTTCCTTGTGGTCGCGCGCGAAAATATTTACAGTGTCAGATTAAAATGGGCGGCAGGGTGGAACGCAAACGTCACGCACAAACGGAGTTGAGCGGGCCTCCTTTGCTTATCTTGGCAGTGCACTCGAGTTTCGCCGGAATCAAGATCCACCTTGAATAACGTTCAACGGGGACGGAACATAAACAAAGTGAACGCGAGAGAGCGAGAGTGAAAGAGACCGACAGACAGAAAGAGAGAGAGGGAGAGAGAGAGAGAGAGAGATCGACTGTTGGAATGGAATTCTCGTTGGTGGTTGCGTTTGCGAGCGTAAATTCCAAGTTTCGTGGTTCCATTCGAACCTAGTGAGAATGAGAAAGAGAAGAGAGGGAGATGAAGGGGGGGAGGTAGGGAAGAGAGAAAATCGACTATGTTGTTGTTGTTGCTGCTGCGAAATGCTATCGAAACATGCGAGATCTCAACGTTGGTTAGTCGTTAATCAAGCCTTTTGCGATCGTTAACGCGTTAATGGAGTTACGCGAAGGGTGTTCGGGGAAATACGAGCAACGCGTAGACCTTCGGGGATGGCACACTAGTGTGTCACTAGCTTCTCTATAAACATGGCAATAAAATTAACGCTCGTAAAGGGATTAGGACACGTTCCTCTATAGGTAGATGGAAAGAGAAGGAGGAGGAGTAGAAGGAGGTGGTGGTGGATAACGCCAGAGACGGAAGCGAAGCCTCACAATGGCTCGGCACGCACGGACAATGGACCACTCGGATAACCCAAATCTGTCGGCCGATTCGCATCGCTCGCTGCAGGATGTTGCTGGTATTCTGCTGCTGCTTCTACTGCTGCTGCTGTTGTTGCTGGTAATGGTGATGATGGTGTTGTTATTGTTGTTGCTGCTGTTGCTGCTACTGTTACTGCTGCTGCTACTGCTGCTGCTGCTGCTCGATTCGTTGCCAAGAAAGCCGGAGCGTCTGGGTCGTGAAACTACAAGAAGATTCGAGACTCTCTGGGGATCTGGAAAGAGGGCTGCGTCTGCCTTTTCCTCTCTTCTACTTTGGAATAAGAAAAGACGTGTTTCTCGGCTCATTCCTCCTCCTCCTCCTCCTCCTCCTTCTCCTTCTACATACTTTTTTTTCTTTTTCTTTCTTCTCGTTTCTTCTTTTTGATATCCAAGTGTAGTAGATACTAGCGTATCTACGTACGTACAGCTATGTATAGCTGGCTAGCTATGTGTACGTACACGTGTATCCTCTCATACATATATATTATATATTTAGGTAGGGTCAATTGGTAATATAGCTCTTCGAGTTAGTAACGTTGGAAAAGTAAACTTTTTTCTCGACTTTTTTTTTGTGTTTTCTCCTCTTTTTTAACTTTTTTCTTTTCTTTTTTTGTTGCTGTTGTTTCTCTTATCTTATTTGATACAGTCTAACGCGTTTGCGTAATCGTTGTATAGATTATTAGAGTAAAATTAGTATGATAGGGTAGGATTATATGTTGAAGGGAAATATTTTCGTACAACACAAAGATGAAATCAATGTTATTTTCAATGATATAAGTACACGAAATAGTTTCCTTACCTCGGCATCCGAGACGGTTCTGTCTGCCGAATTGCGAACTTTGCAGTGCAAGAAAGCCGTGCCACCCAATTGTACTGTGACGTTCGATACAGTGTTGTTGTCGTTCGCATCGTTGATTCTTTGTAGTTCATCTAAATTGCTCAACCACAGTGCTCGCCAGTCTGACGGTATGTTGTAAGGTATACGCCGATCTGAAATGAAAAGACCTGATGGTGGAATAATATTAATATCTTTTTTCAAAGTAGTCCTGTTTTAAATGTTAAAAAAAGAAAAAGAAAACTAAAAATAATGGATAATATAATAGAAAAAGGTTGATTCAAATAAAATACGATTTTAATATACGCGTGTAAGATGTTACGAGATATAGTATCGGAAACGATATATTCAAGGTGGATGGTGTATCGCTTCAAATTTTAACCTTTTCTTTCTCAATCTTTCTTTTGTTATAGTGACAACGTTGCCTGGGGTATGAATACTCTAGCTGAAGAAAAAGTGCGACGATTTGTAACGGGACGTATGCATATTCGTTCGAGTGTTACGTAAGACGAGATTCGTGAAATACAGCGATCGGAAATAGAAGAACGGGTTGTTCAATTCATTGCATTGAAAAAAAAAAAAACAAGAATAGATGTGTCACAATGGAATACAAATAAAAAAAAATAAAAGGAATCGTTTATATCCTTAAAAGAAAAAAGAAATCCAATTTTTTCAATGAACGAAATTATCGATAGTTCTTTGATCGTTTTGTTTCTTTTTTAATTTTACTTCTTCTATTTTATTTGTCAAAGTAACAATAAAACTGATTATAAATTTTTAAAAAAGTAGCAATATAATTCAAAAATAGGAAGAAACATATTCGTTACTTTTATAAATCTTTCCTTTTGAGAAACGGAATCCTTATCGTGGTAGTGATTCTACGTGTTGCAAACAAAATGTTATTCTATCGCTAGCAAAACTACTTCTACATACACATACCTACAGTTACATTTATATCTATATACAGGGTGTACCAAACTTAGATGATCAAATTGCGAGGGTTTAATTTGGGTGCATGTAAAAAAAAAAGGATAAAAATGTTCTGCAAAGTTTGTCAGAAAACACATTGTTACAGAGTTATAAACAAATTGTGTATATGTGAAATGTGTAACGAGGAATTTTCCATTAGAACATACGAACCGAGGTCGAGTATTATTTCGTTTGAAAAACATCGGAGATTAATTTTCATTTATTAACCATTTTTTTTCATATCCACGATGTTGCACGAAGATAATCTTAAAAATTATTTAGGATTGGAAAAAGGTTACAATTGTAGAAGTTAAAAAATGTACTGTTCCATTTAAAATGGACGACAATGATTTTTCAATCTGTTAAGCGACTACACGCGAGAAAAAATTGTCCTAATAACCCAATTATATATAGAGTCCCTTCGATTGTAAAAACTACTTTCTTATTTGAAACAATTTATCCTATTACTAAGATTGTAGAAATAATTCAGTTGGTCGATCTTCGCTGACTCACCCTGTATATGACAAACATACCTATATACACAACCAATATAGGTGGTATAAATTTTTGAGGAATCCAACGTATCCTGTGGCATCGGCTAGGTGATTTAGGATGTTTGCTTTCGACGCCGAATTACTATTCGAGGAAACTCAGGGAGTAGGTTCGCGTTGGAGAAACGTTTCTCTCTCTCTCCCTCTCTCTCTCTTTAGTTCTGACCTCATTTAAATAATCCATAGATACGTAACCGCAATACATGTCTATTAGCCTGTTTTTAAAGGGCCATGAAGGGAACGATAAACTATATCGATTTTTTAAAACGTACCTACTTTTACTCGAAACTTTATTTTTCTATATTATTTATTTTTCTTTTTTCTTTCGTTTTAACTTTACTTTTCTTTTACGTCCATTATTATCATTTAATAAATCAGAACATATTTTTTAAAGGATACACTGTTTGAACTCGTGAAGTATCTAAAAACGAGAGGACCATTAACGAACATAGCACGGATATGTAGTAACATCAGTGACGATGATTCGAACATGTCACAAGTCTCAAGCGCGTATCATGGTACATGTATACGCATGTGTATTTGTATATGCGTGTATGGATGTATATATGTTTCGTGCGAACACGATTCGGTTGGACACGAAATGTTCCAACTTCCGTTTCTCGACATATTTTACAAGGACGTAACAACGATGAAATGAGAATTTTTGTTAGTTCAATGAAACTGACTAAATGGAATCGATGATACGTAAATATATACTTGTGATATACATATTATATGTATTACATAGTTTTCGAAGAATCTATGTCTTTTTCTTTATACCTCCCTCTTTCTCTTTCTTTCTTTCTCTATCGAATATCTTGTATCTAGATAAGTAAGTTAACCATGTAACGTAAATCTTAATGAAATCTCGTAAATTCGTAGAAGTTTCGTTTCGCATGAATGGTCGAATTTGATCGAATTGGATTCTGGTAGCGTAGGATAGATAGAAAGATAGATAGATAGGTAATTGGCGTACGTCGCGTTTCTCGTCACGGCACGTTGCCACGTCGATTTAACATAACCGTCTGGTTCGATAAATCTTCGGAACGTTTGACGCGTCTCTCTCTATACGACAGAAAATCGCGTGCTAGTAGAAACAGGTAAAGAGAAAGAGAAAGAGAAAGAGATAGAGAAAGAAAATGTAAGAAAGAAAGAAACAAACAAAAAAGGTAGAAAGAAAGAGATAAAGAAAGAAAAAGAAAGATCGACTCTAATGCATTCGACGATGTACGTGGAATAAAATCCGCGCACGGTCGCACGGATATATAGTAAAGAGTTGGAAAGGGATGAATGGTTGTAAGAGTGGGATGAGGTGGAGTTTAGTAGGTGGAAGTCTTGACGCAGTTGGTGCATCGATTCAACGCAGAAATTTCTTCGTGTAGCAGCAACGAAGCGACGACGGCTGGCACGTCCCTTTCTCTTTCTCACGCTTTGCAAGCCCTTTTTTAACTCGTTCACAATCGGCAACGACCATCTAGGAGTTCGTTGCTTCGCTTGCTTGCGTGCGTCTCGTCTTGAATTCGATTGGCACTGGAAAACTTTTCGCACTGGGTGCACGTCAAGGCGTTTGTTTGCGAATAAACAGACCAATGAATCGGGTTTCACCGTACTCTGTAACGAGATCTGAATGCGTTCTATTCAAATTTCTTTTCTCTTCCTTTTTTTTCTCCTCTCTCTCTCTCTTTCTATCTATCTATTTCTCTTTTGGTTTTTAATTTCCTTTTCCATTTTTTCTTTTTATTTTCCTTTCCTTTTTTTTTTTAACTATCTTCTCTCTCAAAAGGGAACGGAAATTTCATGGCTTCTTCTATTACGTACTGATGTTAAATAACGACACAGCAATGAGCTAAAGATATTCGATGGATTAATGAAGGATAAAGAAAGAGAGAGAGAGAGAGAGAGAGAGAGAGAGAGAGAGAGAGAGGATAAAAACAAAGAGGATTATAATAGTGCGGAAAAAGAGAAGGAGAGAGAGAGAGAACAAGATTGCGATATATTGCACGCGACCACTTGAGAGCCGACGAATCGATTTTTGTTTTTTCATCTAGTTTACTTTCCTCCCTTCTCTTTCGTTTGATATAAGCTGCAAGGGATATGTACTCGGTATAATCGGTACGTTGTTTTCAGAGGGAACGGGGTAACGATTAAATATACTTGGGGTGGGTAATTGAAGGTATATTCGAGGATAAAATTGTAATATGAGGAGGATTAAGAGAAAGAGTGTTGAGAGTATTAAATTGTACGTGGCCACGAAGTAGACGATTAAAAGTGTAAATAGTCGTATCCAACAGCTTCAATGGTATTAGAAGATTTTAATGAGGACTAAAGTCGTAGTACTCGTCTCGTAGTCATACAGTCGTTGTCGTCGTAGTCGTCGTCGTCCTCGAGGACTTGGAGAGAAAATTGCTTGGGATCAAAGGTCTGCCTGGATAACCACGCTGATGAAACAATGGGAATCAAATCGCTGCGGGCGCTTTTGATATTACACGTTCAAACACGATCCTAGACGAGGCTTTCTACAGTTCACTATAACCGACCGATCATACCGACAATCCGGGCTAATGTACGCTACGTGCTGTCTATCAACTTTATATCTTACCTTATACACAGATTAGATTGTTACTTTTATCTTATCTATACATAAACTTTAACACACGAAACCTAAGAAGATAATATTCGTTAGATTCTAACACGCGATCTGTGTTAGCGAATTTGTATGTTTCTTGAATATATTTCTTAATTACCGCTTGATAAGGAATAGTTTTATGTTTTTTTCTTTTTCGTTAATGTTTTACGTATATTTCAAACTATTAACAAGAAAAAATTGATTCCATTAATCAATGTTCTTTTTTTTTTCTTTCTTTCTTTTTTTTATCCACCAGTAGTTAATATTTTCTATATATAATATTATATTTTTAACGAGATAATCAAGAATTTGTCTGAAATTTAATTTCATCGAATTTCTTATAATATAAGAGATCGACCTTATTTTAGTATGAATTATATTTTCTACAGATTTTCGCTTTTATGAGCGAATTACTCGAAACGAATATTTATGAACATCTACAGAAAAGACGAGTTAACGTTTTTGGCGAGAGCTATTTTACTGGCCGACCTAGATCGCCTTGCCGTGCTACAGATGCGACGACATGAAATATCATTAATTCCGCGGCTGCTGAAAATACGAAGGAAGAGAAAGAGAGAGAAAGATAGAGAAAGATAGAGAAAGAGAGAAAAAGATAGAGAAAGAGAGAGAGAAAAAAAGATTCTTTCCTCTTTTCTTTATATCTTTCTTTTTCTCGAGTCGGTAGCAATGTACTACTACCCCACGGTTGAAATCAGAATTCTGGCGAATCTTAAATTTCTCTCGGTGTAGAAAATATAATATTTAAGAATGTATGCGAAAATACGAACGGACAGGAGGAACTTGAAACTGCAAGGACGAAGGTAGAAGGTAGATAACTAGATAGAGATAGAAAGGGTGGGATAGAGAGAGAGAGAGAGAGGAGTGCAAGGAGGGGGGGTAGGGGGAAGGACAGAAAGAGCCGTATGCATGGTAGAACCAAAATGTTACCGTACACTGTGGCATTACGTCTGCCTATCTGCTACGACCGCCTTAAACGTGTCGTTCGGTGCCACCACCTGCATAC